TATATTGTCCAAGTGCATTCCTTTACAGTTTTTGTTATCAAAATTACAATGTCACCTTTCATGGTAGCTCAGTTGGTAGAGCGCTCACTCCGTGATCGGAAGGTCATGAGTTCGAATCTCGGCCTCGACTGACCTAAGTCGATAAAAAATAGGTAGCAACTGTTCCTTCACCATGCGCTCGGCACTCTGAAGTGAAAGTTGCGGGTCCTTCGGATGAGACCTTAAAAACCAAGGCCCCGTGTCACGGCAGACGTTGGCACAATAAAGACCCCTCACTGCTCAATGGCCCTGAGTGCCGAGTAAAGGTCAAAATTTGAAGCCCTTCACCGGTATATGGTGACGTCTCTATATGACTGAAAAGTTCTCAAATGGGACGTAAAACAACATACAATCAGTCAATCATGTAATGTCATTTAACACTAAGTTACATGCATGAAATGTACATGACTGTTATACTTAATAATCACTACATCTTAAGAGCTAAGGAGTCAGTAAGTTCAGTATTGTGATCATGGCTTGCAGCACCATAATATGAAGAATTTAGAATATACAATCATCACATTCTAAATCATATCTATACAGAGCTGGCATATGGTTTAAGAAAGACATCCACTGATTTTGAGTTTATTCTGTATAAACTTTAATATGATTTGATCTCAATCTTCATTAAATCATATTAGTAAGCAAATATCCTCATGTAGTGAAGGTTTATTTTTATCCAAATCATGGTCCTTAGGCACCGAGGAGCCACAACAGGGGCCAAAGTTTATGTGACAGTGTAGGGAAAATATCTTTCTCTTAAGAACAACATGGTCCCAACTTGTCATATAACTGGGGATGTAAGCATCATGACGTATCAAATAAACATGCAATAGGGGACTAGAAATAGACACTAAAATATATTGAAAAATCTTTAAAAATCTGAAGAAAACCTTCAGGGACTCAGCTTGTCATATTGATATGCCAGAATCCCCATGTAGTGTAAATTCAACTATGGTCAAGTCATTGCTCTTAGGATTAGGGTGGGGGTCAGAATTTTACATAGGAATATAGAGAAATTCCTTTTATTTAAGTCTGATAAAGAACAGATATGGAATAGTCATATTGATGTAAAACCTCCCACATGTAGTGTAGATTCAGGTTTGGTGAATTAAATGTCTCTTGGGGAAGGGTGTGGCCACAATAAGGGATCAAATTATATGGGAAAAATTACTCTGTCACGAACTCTGTCAAGAACAGTGTGGCTCATGAGCCTCTTGTTTAATGTTACTAAATTTAATTTCTTGATAATGTGTAATGTATTCTTGCATCATTTAAGCCTTTTTCTTGTTATTTTAGAGACCCTCCTTTCCAGATTTGTACAATGTTTTACTACAGATTCCAAATTGTAATCCTTCAGATCTGAAGGTAGGAATGCCATTTATTTTGTTGAAGCAGGTTATAAAATACAGCTATTTATAGAGTCAGTGCATAATTTAGAAGGTCAAGGTCCTTAATTTGCGTTTTGATCAGTTTATGATTTTGTTATACATTATCTGACAATGAATTATTTTCAGGATCTTGATGCTAAAGTCCTCCAGATGGCAGCACAGAAGCAAATAATGAATGACAAAAAGAAACGAGATGCATTTAAGAAGTTGCTATCTGGTGTGATAGGGGTAAGTACTAATGACACTTAAGTAACATACTTGTAAGCATATTAAAAAAAATTAAAAAGTACCTGAAAGAAGTCAGCATTTTAACATTTTCATACAGAATTTTACATTTCTATATTTTTATAAATGATCTTCCTATTCGCATCCCTGTTCCTAATTTGAATCATTCTTCAATAATTTCAATAAGAAATTTATTTAAAATAAGAAAGGTTCCATTTTTACAGAAAAGTGTTGGTGAAGAGTTTAAACGGGAGACACAATACAAAGACCTACCTCCAATATTTAGAATCAAACCTCCCAAGTCCTCAGGGGTCCTAGAACAGCAGGAGGAGTCAAGTGGTTTATGTGAACTCTTTAGCCCATCTGATGATTAAATGAGAACAATGTAGGGGACATATTGTTTGAATGCCTTCAACTTTGCATTGGATTGATGGAGAGGAAATGTCATTTTAAGAAGAATGTGATAATTAAGGATATCACTAAGTTATTAAGAATATGGGATTTAAAAGTGTGATATTTAAGGATATATGTAATGAGTTATAAAGAATATGGGGAAAAATCATGGAGTCAAATCGGTACCTGAACTTGGATGTGTTTAAAAAAATTAAGGAATTAAAAAATCATTGTCATAAATAGGATCATGCAGATAAATATGTTACCAATGAAATGGCTTGGATGACATCTGTTTACTAGTGCTTTGATTTAAAACAAAAAAATTTGATAAAGTGGTTGTGAAAATATAAAAATTTTCATATAACATGGTGCAATTGACAATTCTGCTAGAAATGGGAAGACAGGAGCTTCTCTCTGTTGTGTTTTGCTGGACATACATGTACAATGGAGAGACAATTTGATGGTGGAAATATACATGTAGAATGTCCTGAAATTTGACCTAATTGTTTAAAAGATTATTAAAATTTGCAGTATTGACTGAATAAATTAAAATATACACATGATTTATGCCTTATGAATTCTTACTAGTGCATTCTAGACAGTCAAAATTCCACAGAAATGGCTGAAAGACATCATAATGTTTCCATGTTAAATATTATGAAAGTGAAACCAGTGAGAAAAATACAATAGCCTAGACCACGATTCAAACCTAGGCCCCCTGAATTACAAGACAATTGCACTACCAACTGGGCTATCTGGCCACTGGTGATTTAAACTGTCTGACTGCCACAAAAGCAAGCCAAATTACTGGTACAGATCAGATTATCTGCATTATTATTTAAATGAAGACATCTACTAGTAGGTTATTCTTTTAACATGTTTCAAACTGGCTCAAGTAAGCTTTTCTGGTTGAAAATTGTCTGTCTGTCTGTCGTGTGTTATCTGTAAACTTCTCACATTTTGGACTTTTTTCTCCAGAACCAATGGACCAATTTCAAACAAACGTGCCACAAATCATCCTTGTGTGAAGGGGATTCAAGTTTGTTCACAGTATTTATAAAAATTTGGTGGCTTCTTCTCAAGATCCACTAGGCTAGAAAAGATGAAACTTAGGTAAAAGCTTCATTTCATAGTGTAGATTGAAATTTGTTCAAATCATGACCCCCAGGTGGAGGGCGGGGCAACAACAGGGGATCAAAGTTTTTCAATAGGCATATATACTGTAGATTCCTAAATATACGCGAGGAATAAATTATTGCGTAATTACGCGAGAAGCAACGCTCCCGAAATAAAATTACTTGCTTTTATTTTTATGATGCTTTAATGTATATAAAATATCTAGATAAATCACCCATTCGCGAATTATTGTTCTCGCGATTTAACGTCCTTGGGCCAATTCATGATATTAAGTACTCGCGTAAAATAAGGAATCTACAGTAGTAAATATAAAAATCTTCTCAAAAACAGCAAAGCCATTAATAATCATATTAATACAGAAGCATCCTCAGGCAGTGTAGATTCAAGATTGTTCAAATTATGACCCCCAGGGTAGGGCAAGGACACAACAGGGGATATGTAGTATAGGGTGGGGCAGAAATGGGGGGTTTTAAGTTTTAAATAGGAACATATAGTAGAAGTCTTCTATTTTTTTTTCCCTTTGAACATCAAAGCCATGATTAGTCATATTTATATGAAAGTTTCTGGAGGTAGTGTAGATTGAAAATTGTTCAAATCATGACCCCCTTGATTAGAGTGGGGTCATAATGGGCAATCAAAGTTTTACATAGGAATTAAATTCAATTAATACATAGAAAAAATCTTTAAAAGTCTTCTTCTCAAGAATAGCAAAGCCATGAGTAGTCATATTTATATGGAAGCATCCTCTATAGGTAGTGTAGATAGGAGTGTTTTCAAATCATGACCCCCCCCCCCCCCCCCCCGGAATAGCCCGGTGGGGCCACAATGGGCAACCAAAGTTTTACATAGGAATACATTGATAGGAAAAATCTTCTCAAGAACACCAAAGCCATGATAGTCATATTAAAATGGAAGCATTTTCAGGTAGTGTAGATTGAAGTTTCTTCAAATCATGATTTCCTATGGTAGGGTGGGGCCATAATAAGTGATCATGCAAAGTGTTAAATAAGAATACATATATAGGAAAAAGATTGCTGCTGATGAAGAAGGGGTCATATTTACTCAGGTGAGTATTGTGGCCCATGGCACTCTTTGTATTCTTTATGATAAAATTTTTACTATAAATATAATATTTGTTTTGCAAAAACCTTTATTTGTAAGCATAATTTTGCCTTATTGTCTCATAATGTCTCATGAATACCGTACAAGAAATGCTTTTTTGTAGAAAATAAAATGACTTGCAAGAAAATAAAGTCATACCAATTTTAATCACAGAAATATTTAAGTTAAGTTATAATACTATTATTATATTATTATTATTATATTATAAATTGTAACATTATGTTTAAAAAATGCATTTTGTCTAGATTAGAGAATTTAGTTCTAAGATTCATCCACATGTCGATGTAGAAATTGAAAAAAAAAAAAAACGTAAAAAACAAACAAACAAAAACAAAAAAACAACAACAAAACACGTACCCCCTCCCCAACCCCACAAATCACACAAATCACAAACAGAGAGAGAGAGAGGGACGTGAATCCTCTTTTCTCACCGAGGCCTAAACCAGAACATTTTATTCCGTTGTAAACATTTCTGAATTTAGAGACACCCAGAAAAAAATATACGGAAGAAATTGGTCATATTATTTCCTTCTCTTAAAAAATATGTCGAACTATGCTTCAACTTTGAAAAATCTTTGGTGAAAACATGATATATATGTCGATAAAAAAATTGCGTGATATATTGTGAAATATACACAAAGATCGAAAACGAAAGTAGACTGTACCCAAAAATAGACATCTTGGTAAGGGTTTCCCCCAAAAACCATTGTATAAAAAAAAGAAAACAGAAGAGGACGTTCTCAGTAAAGTAGGTAAAAGGCGTTGTGTTTTTACAACATCCATCGTTTCAAAGTTTATTCAATGATATTTTTTTCTTTACTTTGTTGATACATACGATTATGATATCACTACAAGTGCAGACTATTTACTTTTCACACATTTATGAAAATTGACGTGTTCTGACTTCTGTGCACAGGTTATTCTTCCCCAAAAAGACCGTTAGTTCAGTAAAAAGAAACAGAAGAAAGTTTGTTTTATTTAGGTAGGTAATTTTGACAAAAGATGTTGCAGTATATTTAAGACATTTATATTTCATACCAATTTATTTTGTAATGTGCATTATAGGCTTGTACATATTCATCCATTTTTATATTTAATAATTTTATTTATACAATAAATGGTGTGTACGTGTACCTAATTTATTTTTTTTTTTTGAATTTGATAGAAATGCAACTATACCAATGTCATTTGTATTATTCCCTGAAATTAAATTCTTATGCCATAAATGTTAGTTTACTAGGTAATTTCAGAACTATAAAAAATAATGTTTTTTTTTTTTTATAAACATGATAAATCAAAAAGGAAGATAAATCACTGATTCATGAAATTCACACAAGCTTAGATCGAACTATATATTAATATGTGAATTAATAATAACTAAATCAGCGAGTGATTGAAGACTAAATTTCATTTAATTTGTTTATTTTCTTTTATGGCCCTGTATTTGAAGATTCAGGGGCATATAGTGTTTGGTCTATCAGTTTGTCTGTCTGTGTGTTTGTCTGTTTGTTTGACTATTTTTTGTCTATTATTAAATACATAATATTACAGAATGGGCATTTCATTATGAATTTGTTACCGTAATTATTTATTTATAGACATTTTAATTAAGGAATAACTGTCTACCGTAGTTTGTTGGTCATAGCAGGGCATCAATGACAGTTGGAAATGTGTTATAATTTGCATAATAGGCAAAGCTTGTTATGCATAAATTATCCCATGTTTCCAACTTTCACTGATGTCCCTGGCATACCCAACAAACTAGACCGTGATTCCTAATATTTACATTTAAATGTGAAATAAAAATGTAAATATAAATAAAAAATGCTGTCTAATAGAAATGAAATACATGAAGCATTCCATGTTAATATTCATAGTATCAACCCACTGACGTCCGCAGCTATGTTAAGGCTGTCCAAAGGCTTAATACGCATTAAAATATACATTTTATTTTGAGCTAAATTTTAATTTCCATTTGTAATCTATGTATGAATTTGCAGTCAACCTTTGATGAGAATGTAATCAGGTATTATAATAATGCATTTTTGTGATGTCACATGACTTTGTTGATCAGGTGACGGACACTTATAAATTCCTAAATGTTGCACAAAAATCGCATCGGCACAAGTGCAAAACAGCATTATTGAGAAAAATTTGTCACATAAGTCAATTCATCGTGATCTTTGGTACATTTAAAGTGCTGGGGGCAAGTCTAAATTTTACTTTTTCAGAAAATATTCCACGAGGAATTCCACTTACCCACATACAAGGGGGCATTTTCCACTCTTTATCGCAATTTATACAAAATAAGATAAATTACATACAATCCCCCAGCATTGTTCAGTTGGAGGACATATTTCTCTAGTAGATTCACTCAGAATATCTTCAATTTATCCTTATTAATCACTTGTGCCAGTCAAATGTATACACGATTTATAAATTCTAACTCTGTCCACGGACGTGTAAGGGGGAGCATTTCGCATTAAATTTTTTGTTATTGTTTGAATATATGTATATCGGACAAGTTAAAGGAATAACGATATTAAATTACAAATGTTCAACATCACACTTAAGCTTAAAGAACAATCCAGACACTTGAATCAAACAACAACGCTAAAAAATCTTTACATGTCATGTGAAAGGAATGTAAAAGTTATGACACTTCCCCCGTCATGTCAGCTCAACCGAAGTATGCGCTGACTTGACGTCATATGCTATTATGACGTCATATCTAGGTAGTTCAGAGAAGTTACTTCAGTTGGAACAGTTTGATATTATACAGACAGCCTTATCCTAGCCACGTCAGACACAATGACATCCCTGGAGATTGACATGCATATATACTTGACCTTTCACTTGGCAAAATTTGCATTCAGTTGTAAATATTGAGAAACGAACCCACTTAACTTTCAGAGATTTATCAAAGAAAAACAGTTGGAAATGTAAATATTTCATCACCAAAGTAATAAATCACAGGGCCTTGATGCATGTAGTTATAAGTATGTCACTGTTCAGCATATTCAGCACATTTTAAAGGGGGGAGGGTCCATCCCCACTTGATTTACGGTTCAAATGCATGTCTAGTGACATAAAATGAATTTTATCAGTGTGTTAACAAATAAAAAGTAGCTCTATCATTGAGAGGGCACCAAGAACTTTGTATATTCCTTTAATATCATTACAACAAGGTATATTTTGGCACATGATTTATGTATTTATATAATTAAAGCATATGTAGCATGTTTCTGCCAGGTGTAAGGGAAACTGTCCAACCACATATACCTGATATGCAGTAGGCTTATTCACTTTCACAGTTACTCTTTGATCTTTTAATTTGTTGAAACCCCTTCAAATCATTGCCTTGTGATTAGAAATTGCCACTATCAAACACACCTTGTTATCTTTGACCTTGACCTTGGCATTTAACCTACTTTTGCAAACTTTAATCTTGGGCATAACTTTTGAATGGTTGGAGCTAATGCTTTTACATTTCACATGTGTATTACTTGTGACAAGACCTTCCCTTGGGTACCAACACTTTTGACTTTTTAACCTTGGAGTTTGACATACTTTTGAAAAAATTTAACCTTGGCCATAACTTTAGAACAGTTGGTGCTAGGGATTTTATATTTTGCTTGTGTATTTCTTGTGACAAGACCTACTTTTGGGTACCAAACTTTTTGACTGTTTGACTTTGACCTTGAAGTATGGTTTACATTTGAAAAAAAAACAACCTTCATCATAAGTTCTGAAATGTTCATACTAGGGCTTTAATATTTCTTCTGTGTTTATTGTCATAGCCTGGTTCTCTACAAGACAAATAAAACAGGACAGGAAACCAGATCATTCCATTTGTTTACCTTCGGCAGTGCCAGATTAACTCTGACCCTGATTAATTTGATCCATGGTATAAGGTCCCAATAAATGATAAATCTGGTGTATCATACAGATTAATACTGATTTTTTTAAAATATAATTTTGATAATTTTTTTTTTTAGTTATTATTATTTTTTTCATAAAAGATGTCACTTAAGCCCTTATTTTGATTAGTATCATTTTTTTAATTGAGCCCAGCTTACAGTACTATGGGTACTTTGATTTTTTTTGCACACGAAGGAACATCTATCTGACAATAGTTTTCTTGGAATGAAAATTGATGAATATTCCAGTACTTTAGCTGCAGAACTTATGTTGCTCTCTGGGAAATAAAATTAGGACAGACGTACCCGTGCACTGTAGATCCACCCATTAATTAAAAAAAACAACTTTTATTACCTTGACACTTTTTTGTCAAAAGCTCAATAGGTTATTAATTCTAGCTTTATATACATGTACATGACCCCTGGTTTAAAGCATGGTATCTTTTAATTACTGGTAAATATATATTACTCTTAATGTTCATACTTCATACTTCACTTGTGAATAGATAAAGAGTGAACTTTTTGTGTGAATTGTCTGAAATTAATAAGTGTAATTAATAAATAACTGGATAACTTATGCCTTTCAGTTTGACTGCACATGTTTATTCAAAACCAGGTTTTATGAGATTTTTATGTCAAAGTTGTTGTACAAAGGAAACACAAGTATATTGCTTTTAGATCTAACACTTTAATACAGACATAGTACACGTACCAGATTCCACTGTAAGTGTTAATCATAATTAATTCTTGAACTCACACATATCAACTAATTCTGATATCTCCATAAGGATATACTATAGTCTATAATGCTTGTAAGTACACTGCATTGTGATGTAAGAGCGGCAAGAAATTTGTATCAGGAGAAAAATAGGCTTTTGGTAGTAAAGCAGTGTAGGATTATTAAAATAGATGTTTAATCTGGAGTGGGTGTATATACCAGGCCTCGTACAAACTAAAGAGATGAGAGGAAGAAAAAAAGGATTTTGTATATTTTATGTATTTTCATTGACTACAAAGTGTTTTTCTTTGAAAACATTTAATTTAAAAAAAAATTGTCATTTCTTAAGTACACCATGTTTGTAACAGCTAAAGAAATGAGGAAATGTAGATATATTGGCATTCATGCAGATGATCTTTACTACTATATAAAAATATCAAAGTGCATATGATGGAGATTTATATATATTGGGAAATAGAATTTAGTGTACTTATAATGACATAGCCATGTTAATACAGTTTCTCAGTGGTCAATTCCTAGATCTGTGTTTCTGATGAAAACTTCAGAGGCAGATATATAGGGAGGTAAATAACAGGGAGGCACCAAGCATGCTCTTTAAAATTTTGAAATGCATAATAAATCATGCTATTTATTTACTTAATGTGCCTCCATAACTTGAAATCCTGGATCCTGATTGACACCTGAATCATGCTTTGAGCTGATGTTCTTTATTCTTTACAGATCGGTACACGATTATTAGTCTGTTATTCCTGGTTGCACCAGCATACTCTCCTCCGTCTTTTCCTGTAAGAAATGAGAACTGTTATGGCTGTCAGAGACAGATTATCTAAAAGCTAGCTTTTCCATGCACTTCCTGTTCTGTAGTTTCTCTATCTAAGGAAGTGATGCCATAATTGGGAACTGTCCTACATATTTCAAGGAAAAAGATTTCTTAAATGTTGAATTGTTTACTCTAAACTTGTGAAAAATGTCTCCAAATGTGAGTTAAAAAAAATGGGAAGAGATATTGTAATCCCTATGAAATAAATTGGGTACTTGGAAACCATGTCCAATTATTCACAGTTAACTTTAATAACTTTTGCTCAGAAAAATGTTTCCACCTTTTATTGATATCCATATTTTCTTTAAATTTTTCTCTGTTGATCACAAGACATTCTAATATTGCATGACTTTCTGTCATTATTTTAAGTGACATTATCTCTCATCAATGCTTGAAAATAAATGTATCTCCCTCTTTTTTTTTTTTTTTAAGAGTTATCTGAATTATTTGTGATATGTTAAAGTTAGTTGTAATTAAGGTATTATGTGTTATCTAACCATGCA